AAGTGCCTTTGTGCTCCTTGGTCTCAGGCTGTGCTTGGCTCCTGTGGCTGCCCAGGAAAGTGCCATCCCTGTTTGGAGCATGGCATTGGAGATGGGACAAGTTTGCTAGCACAGCTACTGCAGGATTAAGCCTTGCTAACTCTGACTTTTGCTGCATTTTGTGCTTTAAATCACAAGGAGGGTGCTTAATGCAAGTTTTCTGTATTTAATTATGGCAGCCCTATCAGGATGCATAATGAGCTGCTAATATATTGCCCCTGTGGACGGTGGAATTGCTGGCACACAAAAGGTGCTGACTCAGATCTGTCCACTGTCCTTGATTTGGCATCCTTGTCTTTCCCCAGTTTAGTGTTTTGTGTCACTAAAGGCTTTGATTTAAGACACAGCACTGTCATAAAAGAGGTGACAGTAACAGCTGAGCTCCCTGTTAAAATACTGTATATTATTTATTTCAAACTGTTTGGGTATATAGGCATTTTCCTGGGATTTTATTACCTTTTATTGGAGGCCATTTCAAGATTTTATTACTTTTCTCTCTGATTTTGTTTATGTGTCAGAGACTTGAAAATAAGGGAATTGCTTAGTTGTCATCTCCAGTGAGGTTTTTAGAAGATGTTGCTGAGTTTATGACTCTGCCCCAGAACAGGATGAAGAACAGACTAGTTCTGGGCTGGGACTGATTCCCTTTCTCTTCCTCTACTTTCTGTGTGGCTTCAGGCAAATCACTTGTCTGTGCCTTGAGTCTGTGGGGGTGAAGTGAAGGTAGCACTTGCCTGGTGTGTTGAGCATGCAAAAACCTGAGGTTGAGGGTGCAGTAGTGGAGAGCAATGTAGTGGACATGATTTAGAGAGGGGAGGGAATCCAGAACTTGCTGAAAACCATTGGATTGAGGAAACTGCCCTGCCAGGAGGAGGATGTGCCTCTGTAAATGCTGAGAGGTGCTGGCAGGCTGGAAACCCAGTGCCACTGGCAAAATGGGGCTTGTGTAGGCTCAAGAATATAATCCCATTTTTGCATGACATCTTTCAAATGTTGTGGAACGTGATGCCACAATCCTGCCCTGAACACAGGAATTTGTCTGCAGCTCCTGTTGGATGGAGCTGTGTGACTCGGTTGTTACTAGTGCCATTGTGTGTCTCTCTGAGATATTCCCTTGGTCATCAGGACCCTTTGCCTTCTGTGCTTGGTGTTTGCTTATCTTTCCTTACACCCCATTTTCAGTCAGGGCTTTCCCATGGGTTGGGGCAGAGCTTTGTACTTCCTATCTTGACAAAAATTCAGTGTATTTGGCTTGTGTACAGTTAGAGCTTAGTCCTGCTGTCCATGGAGGTTCTGTTCCCATTACTGCTCCCTAGAGAGGCTGCAAATATGATTCACCTTACAAGATTTACAGTCAGGTAAGAATATTTGGCTGGAACTCCCTGCTGTATAAATATATTAGTTGAGAAATTTGCAAAGGGCCGTTTTACCACCTCCAGGGAGGGGGAACCAGTTGTGGAGTAACACGTAAGGAGACTCTCAAGGTTTCTCCCAGTCTGGATCAGCAGCTGAAGTTGTTTGGGGATGGTATACAACATTAACGTGTCTCTGAGCATGTGTCTTTCCCTTCTGAGTGCTGTGACCTTCAGCTCTCAGGTGAAGACCTCACCTAAGTGTCAAAATTTCCATTTTGGCCACAAATGGAGAGAACTGCAGACACTGCCCATTTGGGGCTGCCTGGGTCATCTCATGAGAATAATGCCTGCAGGCAACTCTGCATGCAGAAGCAATATCAGGAAAGTTTTTAATGCATTCTAGCTGCCATCTTTCTTTTTAATGCAGCTGCTGAACTGTAAATGAGGAGAGCTGAGCATCAAGTGACCAGTCAGCACCCTAGAGACCTTCAGTAATTATTTTGTGGGCACAGAATGAAAAACTCTTAGCTTAAAATACTAATGGTGGCTCTTGTCTTTCTGCTGCTTGTGGAGAAAAACAGCTTTTGAGACCCTCCAGGGAATGGAAAGAGGACAGAGTCCTGCACAAAGTGTTGCCAATTTGTCAGTGTTGGCATACTTAGCTAAAACTGCCCTTCCTCAGCTGTCAGGCTCAGGTCCCTCTTGTTAGATTCCTGGTTGGTTTCTTGTGCATTGTAGAGTCCTGCAGCAAAAAAAGTGGAGCCAAAATCTTTATTCTTTCCAACAAAACCACTGCAAGCCTTTTTAATATATCCTAAAATAGCAAACAGGGCACAAGTGCACTTTTTTCCCTCCTCTTGATGGATGAAATGTAACTACTGTTCCTTGATTTGTATTACTATCGATGTTACTACGAGTCTTCCCCGATGCTGGAACAGCCTCCGAATGCCAAATCTCCAGAGGAAACTGCTGTCGTGTTTTGATGATGGCAGTGGAAAATTAATATTAAAACATTTATTTTTTTTATCCATCTTGGCCAATTTTTGCTGGTTGGCTGTGGAACTAAAGAATTGCCAAGCAGGCGCTTTCCATACAGATAATGAATTTGCATTTTATTCCCCTGTTTGTTTGGCTCTTTTTAAAACAAGTGGTCCAATGCACCTCTGAGCACAGAAGAAAACATTTAGGCTACATGAATTCTGACTGATTTATAGGACTTAACTGTTGCTAGCCTGTTCTCCTATTTCTCTGTGAAATGCAATATGTTGTTTTAAAGGCCAGCTAAGATGTTCTAATTTGGATGAATTGCTCACAGGGAGACAGTCAGATGTACAGAAAATTAATTTCAGTTACAGTCACTCATATCCTCTAACACTTTAAATGAAAACATAGTGTAACTAATAAATATCTCTCAGCATGGGCATGCTCTCCTTAAAGCCTGATTAATGATTCCATCCTCAGCATAAAATCCCCACCCTGTTAAGGTGAAGAACTGTTAGTTGATTTAAGCACTTCACCTGCCTGAACACTTGAACATATTTCATAAAATATTTGCTGAATGCAGTTTGCGTTTGGTTGGCTAACAAAATCATAGAATCAACCTAGTTGGAAAAGACCTCCAAGATCATCGAGTCCAACCCTACCCTGGTTACTAGACCATGGCACTAAGTGCCACATCCAGTCTCATCTTGAAAACCTCCAGGGATGGTGAATCCACCACCTCCCTGGGCAGCACATTCCAATGCCTGAGCACTCTCTCCATAAAATATCTGTTCCTAATATCCAACCTAACCCTCCCCTGGCAGAGCTTGAGTCTGTGCCCTCTTGTCCTGCTGCTGGTTGCCTGGGAGAAGAGACCAACCCCCACCTGACTCCAGCCTCCTGTCAGGGAGTTGTAGAGGGTGAGAAGGTCTCCCCTGAGCCTCCTCTTCTCCAGGCTGAACACCCCCAGCTCCCTCAGCCTCTCCTCATGGCACTTGTGCTCAGTCCCTTCACCAGCCTCGTTGCTCTTCTCTGGACCTGCTCCAGCACCTCAATGTCCCTCCTGAGCTGAGGGGCCCAGAACTGAGCACAGGATTCAAGGTGTGGCCTCACCAGCACCGAGTCCAGGGGCAGAATCACCTCCCTGGTCCTGTTGATGACACTGTCCCTGCTCCAGGCCAGGATGCCGTTGGCCTTCTTGGCCACCTGAGCACACTGCAGCAGCCTTTGCCCATCCCCAGGATGTACCTGTGTTCCCTCCCCAGGGTCCCCATCTGTGCTGGGCTTTCTTGGCACTGGGATGTGCCCTGTGATATGGGAATTTGGTGTGATAACTGCTTCCCAGGGGCTGCTGCATTTGGAGCTGTGGTTCTGCTCTGGCTTCTGGTCTTTCATCCATCATTCCTGTGGGATATACAGCAATTTAGTTTAAAAATTTACAACCCCCCCCAAAAAAACCAAACTCCCAACCAAAAAAGCAAGAACAAACCCATGTTTTGTGTAAATTAATTCACTAGCACAATGATATTTTAATTTCAGTGAGATTCGTTTTGCCTGTGACACCTGTGTGCAAGGGGATTTATTTTCTATTAGAAAGGGGCACTGGTAACAGGCAGATCTGGTGAGTCCTAACCCACATTCCCTGGCTTTTCCAGGCAGGGACAGAGACATGTTCACTTATATATTCTCCTGAGCTGACTTCAAGAAAATATCTCTGCTACCCCAACCTCAGCCTGCTAATTGCTCTGTTCTTGAGGCAGTTGTCAGCACTGGCCACATGGCAGAAATGTGGTTGTGCTTTTGGAGCCTTTGGGCAGGTGTAGCCTCTGTCAGCCCCCTGTGGTCTCCGTTGTGGGTAACAGGGATGTGACTGCCAGTCTTCCGTGCAGCAAGAGGAAGGGCTTTCCATTTGTTCCATCAGTACACCCCACTATGGAAAACTGCCTGAATCCCACTGACACCAAGTCCATTTTACACTGATTATAACTTTTTTTTCCCCATATATCTATCCACAAGTGCTGGCTCATTCCCTTCCTTGTGTTTCTTATTTCCCCATACACATTCTGCTTTGCTTCTGCCAGACTGGTTCACCTCAGGCCTTGACTTGTCTCTTACTCAGTTCTTCCATGCAGTCAGGTGCCTCTGAGCAAATTCTGAAGCTGCCTGGCATTCCTCTGTGCTGAATGTGTCCCCTTGCCTTCCAGAGGACCTTCAGAATAATTAAGCTTTACACAGAAACAGGTGAATTTTAGCCTTAATGAATAATCATTTCTGTAGAAACCCTAATCAACAGATTTTTTCTTGATACTGTTGGAGGATGAGGCATTTGGCTGGGTAATAAACATAACATTAGTGAGAAATCACTTGCTGGTTATCCCTGTTGGGTAATGCATGCAAAAGAAATGAGCTGCATAACAAAATTGCTTCCCTGGCCTCACACAAAGAAAACCCAGGGATGCAGAGGTGCTAAAAGGAGGGTAAGGTGAGGTTGAGTTGTGTCAGTTGTTTCCCCCTAAAATCTTCTGGCCCAAGAACAAAATTACCCTGAAACCATCAGAGCTCAGGATTTTCCTTAAGCAAAGCCCCTTTGCTTTGTTCTAACAATAGGAAATTTCTTTTCTTTAGGTGAAATTTGGAGCCTGCAATACTCCCAAGCCAAGCTTCTTTGATTTTGAAGGAAAGCAGAAATGGTAAGAGGAAATCCTTGTAATTCCTAGCGATTTCTGGCTCTGCTTTTTGTTGCATCTTGTCTCATCTCTTGACAGGTGATGAACCTAGAGAATTTCAGCTTGGAGGTTCTGCCACTGAACTGGCTTGAAAATCCTTTGTTTAACAGGGAAATATTTGCTGCTGTGCCTGATGCAGGTGTGGAATACCAGACTCCTGTTTTTACCATGGTCATCCAGAATTAGCCTGCATACAACAAAAAAGTTGTGCAAATAGCTATAGCTTTGTGAACACAAACTGTTCCAGCCTGGGTCAGGATCCCCTGAAAGATCCTTTCACAGCTGCACTGACAGAGGCCGTGCTCTGAAAGGATTTGGATCAATCTGTTCACTGTGTTCCACTGATGATACTATAAAAACACGTTGTGCTGTCTCCAAGGGGCTCACTCATGTTCTGCTGTCTCTCCTAGGGAGGCCTGGAAAGCCCTGGGAGATACCAGCCCTCACCAAGCTATGCAGGAGTACATTGCTGTAGTGAAAAAACTCGACCCCAGTTGGAATCCACAGGTAGGAAAGGTGAAAATACTGTTCAGAAAACCAACCAGCGTTTGCCTTTGCAAAGCTGACAATGGCTCAGCTTCACACGGATTTTAATTGCTGCATGGCAAACTTCATTTTGAGCAGATTAAAGTCTAAATTCATTTTACAAACTCTCCCTTTGTTGAGACTGAACCATGAAGAACCATCTCTTTCATTCATAATGATCCTCATTACAGCGAGCGCATGCACAGGGTTGGTTTGGCCGTGGTGATCTAATTTATTTTGCTCTTATTGGTTCATGCTGTATTTAGCATGTAAAGATACTTTTTATCCTTTTCTCATCTTTCTCTTTTCAACTACTATTTAAATGTTGATCAATAGAAAGCAATCTCCATGAAAGTGACATGAACTGAATGATCAATTCTAAAAATGTTTCCTTTTTGTTTCGGTGCAGCAAATTACCAAATCTGATTATGATTAGGTACTCCAACATAACAAGTCCTGTGTCTGTGTGTTACAGGGAGACTGTACTGTCATTTTAATTAATCTGTCTTTCATCTACCAGGTTTTATTACTTGATTGAATCCTTAAGGATATCTCCTGTTTATAGACTGACTTTTATACCATTTTGAGAGAGGATTGCTCTTTAGAAAAAGTATTGCCTTTGGAAATAGAGTGCAGATATTTCACTAATAGCAAAGTGCTGAAGGCATGGTAATTTCTTTTCACAGTGGGAAATTGATTCTTTTTTGGTCCTGTGCTTTGGAAGTAAAATCTTGTGTGAGCACAAGCCTAGGAATCAAGAATTTGATTCTCAGTTGTCTTCTGATGCTGTTCTGGTGACTTAAGAGTAATTGTTTTTTTCTTCACTAGGTCATGTTTCATGCCACTGATACTGTTTTTGCAGCAAAGAAATGTTGTCATTTAGAGAAAAGCCTTTTTAATGCCTTTGGGGGAAATAGTTTTATATGCTGTGCTGTTAGCAATGTTCTGCAGGGTGCAGTCTGCAAAATCAGGCTGCTTGCTGTGTGAATTATTCTCCAATCTAAAATACTTAGAGAGAAAGAAAATAATTTGTAAAAATCCTTATGTAATCCTGCATGAAGACTGTCTAGTGAAACACAGGAATATCCATTAAAAATGGAAAAGATAAACCCAAAACACAACAAAAAAACACCCATTGCTTTCCTGAACCGATTTCTCAGCATGGTGCCAAGCTTAGCTTTGGATATTCTCTTCACTTATTGTCGCAGGTGTGAGCTTCAGGTTACAGAGCTGTCAGCTAGGGAAGTGGAAGAATATGTTAGTTTTTTACAAACCAAATGTTTTGAAGAAGCCACATGGCAAACAAAGAATGGTTGGCAGCACTGCTCCTCCCCTCTTCCCCTGAAGTGAGGAATGAACACGTGTGAATCTGCTTCTTCCCATTGCTGTCCTTGCATCAGCTTGTCCCGAGAACTCAGCAGAAGCTCTTGCACCAGTGTGTTTGCTCTTTCCTGCTCTGCTCCATGCTCTCTGTTTGAATAGTGGCTACAAATGTGGGCTGGGGGAAGGAAAGCAGTGCTGAGCTGGAACAGGAGTTTCAGGGCTGAGTTGTCAAAGAGGTTTAAAAAAGTGTGATTTTTTTTTTCTTCAGATGCTTTTGGTGCATCGTTTCAAGAGTTGTGCTTCTCTCACCCATGTAGCCATCCATATATTTCTTGGCTTTTTGAAGCCAATGTGGTTTGTCCTCTCTGTGGTGTGCATGAAGCTGTAACATTAAGAAAAACCTGTAGCTTGTTCTGGTTTGCTGTCCCTGCACTGCTGCACAGGTGCCATGTTTCTTGGCCTGACTCCTTTTCCTCTGCCTTGCCTATGGCTGAGCGAGAAACCTGTTAGGAGGTCTGAGAGAGCCTTCAATTTACATCGAAGGAATATGCTGAGGTGCAAAAAAGCCTAGCAGAGAAGGTCACTTTAGCAGAAAATGGAATTTAAAAGTTAGCACTAAAATACAGATGGAATTGCTTTCTTTTCTAGAAGTCACTTGTCCTTCCTGCTATGTCTTCTTTTTGATTCCACTTTTATAGGATAAAAATGCTGTAAGGAGTCCTCTCTGATGTGTCTCATGCTGCCCTGTGCTCCTGGCTTTTTCCCTTCCTTTCCCTCACCAAATCCACGTTCTGGAGCCACGAGAGGGAGCTCTGTTCTTTAAAATGATGGAGATGCGTGTGTCGGGGATGGAGATAAAATAGCTATTTTAGTCTTCAAGTTTCAAATTGGATTTATGGAAAAGATCTGTGGGTACATTACAAGGTGCTTCATCACTGTCATTGTGTCTCCTTTACATGCTCATCTGATGGGTTCCTTTGGATTTTTCTTACATTGAGTAGATTATGAATGACTACTCCTACTATCTGGTTGGAAGCAGTATAAAGTGCTGAGTACAAATCTGAAAAGTTCATCTTTCAGATCATTGTGAATCATAAATAGTAATTACAGTACAAAGGTGTTGAATTCCCTGTTGTGCATCCTCATGAATTTTGCTCTTGTAAACCTTTCTTAATACTTTCTTTTCAGCTGTTTATCTCATCCCTTAGAGTGTTCTTTTGTGTTTTCTTAAATCCTCCTGTCTCATTCACTGACAGTTTTGTGTCTGCTATTTTTTTCAGTCTCTTGTTTCATATATTTGCAAAAGATTTTAATGTCTTGATCTTGATTTAGTACTAAAGTACTAAATATGCAGAATTTAAAACTTAGAAACAGCTTATATTTTTTTATGGGTTCATTTCTTTCTACACCAGATTTGCTGTTGTTCTGCAGCTTTCAGGCTGTCAGTACTTTTGCTGATAAACAGAATGGAACTGAATGAAGTATTTCTTGTGCAGTCCAGATGGATTCACTTCTTCATTCCTTTTCCTTGATTCTTCATTGATTCATTCTTTCATATTTGCCTTGCATTTTCAGTGTTAGTCCATTTCCAGCATCAGACAGTAACTGCTGTATTTTAGCATCCTTGTTTTGGATTGGGAAAAGTACTGCAAAGTAAAAGGATGTTGGGGCACTCTGAATTTGTGTTCAGAAGCAATGAGAACACCACCAGCAGCCAAAATCTGACCTGCTGCTTCCTACTCCTGCGTGGAGTCTGGAGCACCTGCACTTTATTAGGAGACAGCTGGACATGGAGAGGCAGCAGCACAGCTGTTCTCTGCTCTCTGAAGCTGGTATGATATATTTGACAGTAGAGGCACATTTGTTGGCTCATCTCCATGGCTATTTCCAATGTGGTTTAGTTTTTTCTTCACCTTCCTCGTTGTCTGATAGTCCCACCTAACATTTTCTTTCAGAGCTTTGTCTAAAACCTGGAAAGAAATGATCAATACTGCATTTATTCAGCAATTTTATTTGCTGGGGAATCTTTAAAACAGCAGATAACCTAAAGGATATTGAGGTGAGATCCATTGTCTTTACATCCATGAAGCCACAGGAATGTCCTTGCTGTGTTTGACTTGATCCCAGAAGTCTAGAACTAGTATTCACAAGTGCCTTTCAGGATGCTTTGCAGTTAGGCCTTCCTGTGTTGGCATGGTCTTCTGTGTGCTGTCTCAGGGGTTCTTTGCTCCTTCTCTGAAGAGCAGCTGTCAGTAGGAGTCCACGGACTATACTTTTCCATGCTGTCTCCATTCTCCTCTTGATGCAGTCTTCCTTTGTCATCTTCTACCTTTGAGCACATCTTTTGTTTCTTGTTCCTTCTGTGAGTCATTCCTTTCAGTCTGAAGTTCCAGGCAGTGGAAAGGTAATTGCTTGGACCAGCTCAGCTCTATTTGCATATTTCAGAGACATCACCTGTCCTTCAAGTCTATTCACTCTCCCTCCAGAACAGAGTATAATTTATGAAGCCATTCTTGTGCATTCTCTACCCTTAAACAGAAATGTTTCATGCCATCAACACCTCCCACTGCTTTGGGTCCTTGGGAGAGGAATATGTGTCCTGACTGCTTCGCTTCTCATATGTTCACCTGTTGTCTTCCTGCTTTCCTGGCAGCAAATGACAATTTGGTTTCAGTGGCTTTTGCTGATGTGTGTGTGAGTTTGGTGATGACACTCACCTGCCCTTCCTGTCAGTCTGTCCCTCTCACGTGGTCCCCACTGCTGTGGTGCTGTCCTACAGCCTCAGCATTGGGCCTGGGGGTTTTGGGAGGTTCACTTTCACAAGTTGAGTGTCTTGCATCTTCATGCAATGACTTTGTTCTCGTGTCCAGAGAAGGGCAACAAAGCTGGTGAAGGGTGTGGAAATACAAGTCCTATGAGGAGATGCTAAGGGAGCTGGGGTTGTTTAGCCTAAAGAAGAGGAGGCTCAGGGGGGAGACCTTATCACTCTCTACAACTACCTGAAAGGAGGTTGGAGTCAGTTGGGGTCAGTCTCTTCTCCCATGCACCCAGTGACAGGAGGAGAGGACATAGTCTCAAGCTGGTGCCAGGGAAGGATTAAGTTTGACATTAGGAAGAATTTCTTCCCAGAATGGGTAATAAGACACTGGAATGTGCTGCCCAGGGAGGTTGTGGAGTCACCATCCCTGGAGGTGTTTGAGGACAGACTGGACGTGGCACTCAGTGCCATGGTCTGGTTGACATGGTGGTGTTAGGTCATGGGTTGGACTTGATCATCTCAGAGGTCTTTTCCAACCTGATTGATTCTGTGATGCTGTGATACATCACTGTCTCTGTGAGCAGTTAGTACTCAAGTTTTTGAGAAAGTCATAGTGGTTGTATTTCCATTCCCCTACACTCTGAAATTCTAATCTCTGTTGTGTATTTGATATCACAAATCCCCACTGGCTTTAAGCTTTGGATTTTCCAAACCTGAGACTGCCGTGGGAGTCTGTCTGGAGGTGAGAGCAGGCCAGCACCTCTTTTCTCAGCAGCATTGTACTCATCCCTTCAACCAAGTTCCTGTCACAAGGGCTGTGGGTGGAGGTGTGACCCGACACTGCAGTAGGGTGGTCAGAGCTCTTATTGATTGATTCTTGTAACGAGATGGTTGTATGGCA